GTTATCATATTTCCATGGGTAAGGAAAAACCTATCTCTTGCTGAAATTTCAACAAAAATATCTTTGTGATGAAAATGAAACTTGTGTCTTCGATATTCAGCTAGAAGATCAATTTCAGATTAACAAGCGGTTGACAGAATCAAATTGTCTCTTCTTTTGTTTTTAAGGACGCTTTTATTGCAAAAATGTTTTCTACCAAAAATTATTACAAAGTTCTAAAATGAAGTATTTGAAGATGAGTGCATAAATAAGATTATTGCATGTGTTTTTTTTATTGAATATTATCTGGATGAAGTTGTTTTCAGAAATTAAGACTCAACGTACGCCACAACGGATCACAGTGATGAAAGAACTTCAAAGAAAAAATTTTAACAAAAGTCAGTCTTTGTATCATTGCTTAGGTCATCATCATTCTTTTTTCTGTATTATCCATTGCGAATGAATAGAGTATTTTTTATCAAGCTTTAAGAAAGAAGTTGTCTCTCGGAAACCGTAGTTAAATATATCTAATCGGTATTCAGAAAGAGAAAGAGAAGTCTTTTTTCGCTCTATAACTTCGTCTCACTACATCCGGAGTTAATTCAAGCATGACAATTTCCATTAGAGATAGTATTTTCACGTAAGTATACACCAATAACAGTAAACTGGGTCACCCTGTTACCGATACGATGCATAACAAAACCATCTTTTTCTCCAAATTTTCGAGTCGAGTTTTTTTTTTTGGTTAAGAAAGGGTGTTTTTACAAAAGTAACGGTTTTGTAAAAGTTTCATCAACAGCTTTAGGGGTCGAGTAATTCGAATCTATCGATGTTTTGTCAAAAATGTTCGAGTTGATTGTTTTGGTCTAAGAAAAGCCTTTTGTTGGAAAAACGACGATTTTTTTATTAAACTTACCGATCCTTCTAAAAAAAAGGTGTCATACTGAACCTTTTTTTCGGTACCATTTTCAGAACCTTTTTCAGTTCTAGACATGTTCGCTAGAACTGAAAAAGGTTTAAGCTGGAAAAGTTGGAACCTTCAGAGTTCTAGACTTGCCGACTGGAACTCAAAAAAGGTTCTGAAAATGGTACCCAAATCTAGAAACTTAAAAGATTCATGGTCTCCTCTAAAACTTTAAAAAGTTCAGTAGGAAACCTTCTTTTTTTAGAGGGAAATCATAGGATTGTGGTATCTCTTGAGCACAAAAACTCAACTCGAAAATTCCAAAAACCACCGATGAATTCAGATTTTTCGATTCTGAAAATCTTTGATCAAACTTCATAATAATAGGTTATTTTTGCAAAAAACACCTTTCTAAAACAAAAAGACTCGACTTGATGGTTTAGCTATGCATATGTACCAGTTACTAGTAATGGTGCATACCTAGTTGCAAGGTCACTGTATGTGCGGCTAGGAAAAATGAAGCCATATTTGTATATATATATTATATTCACAATACAATTTTCGATCGATCTGTTTTTCTATATAGTAGCAATCGTTGTAAACAAGTCGGACTTTTTACAGTGCGAAGCAGTGTTTAAAAGTCGATCGTGAGTTCTTTTTCTCGATATTGAAATCGTCAGTTTTGTGACGCGATCATCTGAAAAATGGAGAGCCGCAAAATTTTCATTCAAAAGTTATTATGAAGCTCCATGTGCCTAGATAAACTAAATGTTTTCAAATATTTAAAATGAAGATCTGTTCACTATTAATTAATGAGAGAAAAAGACAATTTTGATGTGAGGACTTCATTTTTTTCTGAGATGATACCGAGACAGTGGAAGTTCGCTTAAACGCCTAACTTATGTAGAACTATGTTAGTACTAATGAATGTGATCGAAACCGGCAGTTACTACCATCTTTCGTCAATTGTGTTTATTGTTTATCTTTAATTAAAAGTCACATTGGTCTTCGATTTTCTTTTCAGTTAGAAAAAGTTCGATCTTGATCTTTTATTCGATTTGATTCGGGTGTAATCATCTTAAATAATTACTTGCTTATCGTCAAGAACCATAAAAATTTTTCTTAAAACTTATTATAAGAGAATCATTTAGCATTTCAATTCTATCAAGTACCTCGTTGAGTACGAGTTCATCTCCATCAAGTAGTTAAGAAACTCTGCTTCAAGAGGAACTGGCAGATTTATGTATATAAACAAATAGCTAAACACTTGCGCTTTATGAAAGAGTCTGTCCGAATATTAAGTAATGATTGAAGAAAGAATAAAACAGTTGTCAAAAACTGACAAACGAAGATAATGAGAGAGAGGAGGTAAGACAATGTGATATCATCAACTGCGAAAAATACAGCATAAGAAAATCCACCCAACTGTTCACGATAACATCTAACAAGAGGAAAGAGTCCAAAAGAACGAAGAAAACATGATAACATAATATATGAGTGATGCTCCGTTATGCAGTATGGGAACATGATTTTCTTCACGAACTGGCATTTCGACTCATTCGAAATTTTTACTATTCTATAAGTAATAAGGCTAGTTTGTGAATGCGTGCTTCGTATTGATTTCTCACCACGGGCTGATCCTGTGTGCCATCTAGATTTGAATGTTCTGAGATTTTTTTCTGTTATTTATCTAGATTTATTGATCATTTTACAATATCAGCTGGTGTTGCTCGAACTGCGTGTCAAATATACAACGATGCTACACTCATTGCATATTATCCGTTCGATAAAACAGACACATTACTCGATCGTAGTGTTAATTTGATCCATGGTATTTCGTTTGATTTAACGACGGTTTCGTCAGGTCGACTTCAACAAGCGATCTCTTTTAAAGTCAATACAAGTTATTTTCAAGCACAATGCTTCCCAACAATACGTCCTACTAGTGTACCTGTATCTGTTTCTCTCTGGGTGAATCCGACGATGATTATTGGTGGCGGTTCATTGGTCCATGTATCAACTCTTCAAAATGGTACTGGATCTATTTGTTACGATCTTCTAGGCTTTACAGCTGCTGGCATGCTACTGGGTCAATTAATGACAAGCCCGACAACTCTTATCAATACTCAAGGTGTATTATTGCCGTTGAATACTTGGACTCATGTAGCCGTTGTTTATTCAAGCACAAATGGCTTTCGTCTATTTATCAATGGACAACTAACTGATGCTGTATCAGGATCGATTACTACTAATCAATTCAGTCTGTATATCACGCTTGGTAATAACAGTCCAAGACTTTCTACATCCAGTTCTAGTTGTGTGTCATCACCTATCGTTGCTGGTCCATATCATGGTGCTATCGATGAATTTCGAGTATATAATCGAGAATTAGATGCTCAAGAACTTTGCGTACTTGCCAATATTTAACATCTGTCAGTAGTTACTCATAGAATTCAAATTTTGATTATTAAAAGTTTTATATAGTTTCCAAAACCAAGAACCAAGGAATATTCCTTTTATTATCATATTTAGTAAATATTTCGGTCCAATATTATCCAAAGATGCAAATAGAGAGGGTGTGGGATGTGGATGTGTGTATAAATGGAATGCTTATTCAAACCAACACTCACGAATCTATACCCACACTCGCACCCATCTACATCCACAAACGCACCCACACCCCTTCACCATTATGAAGCTAAAGGAGTACTCTATATATTCATCAAGAAATCCAGAAAATCTTTGCAGTTTCAGAATTTCTTCATCATTAATCTTTCAAAGATTTCGTCGCAACGTTTTAAAGTACTATAGAAACCTATATGTCTAAACTATGCAAAATGTAATCTTGACATACCCTTACAAAATGATGCAAAGCCGACCTCCCTAGCTTTTATGGTTTTCAAATGGTACTCATTTTTCTGAAACCTGTAAAATCCATTTTCTTCAATATCTCTACTTTCGAAAATATGCATCAAAATACATGGTTACCATAACTCATTTGTGAAGTTAAATAAAGAGCCTATTCGTAATCTGCGTCAAAAACTCTATCAAATCAAAAATGTCTTAAGAAATTTTTTTTCTTACGACAACTTAATCTCTGTGAGAGTAGCGGCAAAATATTAGGAAAATAGACCAGAGTAGAACTACAGGTGTTTTTTTTCATTGGAAACAAGTCTTAATAAAAAATATATGATTTGATACAGTTTTCGACGCTGATTTCGAGTATACTCTTTATTTACCTTCATAGTTGAGTTATGGTAATAAAGACGGCTGGTTACCAACGTGTTTTTCACCTTTTTATCTGACTTTGCCACCGAAGAAGGAAAAACTTCAAGTTTTTTAACAATAAAGGAAAATTAAACACAACTAAATAGCTACTTTGGTAACTCGTAGTCTCACGATTCTAATCAGATGTAACACTTGTCTCTATTTCTTGTCACAAAAAACTGGATAGGTTTGCAAAATTGTCTAGAAAAACATGCTTTCAAGCCTGTCTGGGATTATTCTGGATAATATTTTTTAATCCTATCAACTTTAAATCCTTTCAACAAAAATTTTTCTAGGAAGTCTTAATTTGAACGTCAAAATGCTACCTTTTTAGTCATTCAATTTTTCTAAGGTTTTTCTCAGCTGCATAATAGTCGAATCCAAGTAGAAAGTATATATTCGTGACCCGATGGTGAAGCTCTATCAAATCATATACAAATAAATGAGACAAAAAGATCTACTGCAATTTTGTATTTCCGGCACCTTATTTTTTTGTTTGATATCAACTCGGTGTATTCGACATTTACATGTCTTATTAGATAATTCATATAAATTAAAATCCTCTTCATAATTACTCGTATAATGCAAATCAAAATAGTGTGAAATTTTCACAATTATATCTACGTATACGAAACCTAACTTATGTATTATTATATTTAGCTGTAACAACTGCCACAAGTGCGACAACTATTAACAAGTGTTTTATCTCATACAAACAACATTTTATTTTACTTTTACTTTTTCCAGCAATTACTTCGAATGCATGTACTTCTGAATGTAAAGGTGTTACTAGACTTTATCATTGTGATAATTGTCAAAATATAACAACATAGACACAATCTACATATACCTATGCAGCTATTTCAAATCGAACTCGTATTGCATTCTCTTTTCGTGAAGATATTGGTTTTTTTGCGCTTGATGCTGTATCTGTACGAAGTATAACAGCACCCACTGTTGAACTCATTGCAAATAATGATTTTGCAACTGGTACAATGTCATCATGGACATACTGTAATCCAAACAGTGCAACAGCTGCTGGTGAAATTAAGGCAAATTCAAATAATTTTCAATATGGGAGTTATTTTCACCAAGCCCAATCAGGAACTCATTTTTACACTGATGGAGCAGTAGGAGCTGCTGATTATTTAATTCAAATGTTTTCAAAAACTCTCGATACTATATATACTATCTCATATTGGTTATACAATATATGCAGTGGTACACACATTAGTGCTGATGTTATAATCAGTATCTAGAAACCTAGTAGAGTTTTTTTCATTCTAACGCACAAAGATTATAAAGACACGAAATTTTCTGTTAAATAAACTTTGCGTTATAGATTTTGTTTTTAACTTTCAATAAAATTATCACAAAGCCATGCATAAAGGACGTACAAGTAAAAATCGCACTTTTTGACACTTTTCTCCTGGACCTTTTGTGTAAAAAGCCTTTTACAGAAAGAGTCTGCTTGTTCAAATGTATCTCTTCTTGCTTATTAAATATATATATCACAAATAGAAATGAATAACCACACATTTCATAAACACATATAACTTATCCCGAGGTTTTTGCTTTTTAAATACTTTGGATTTTAATGAACAAGACAAAAAAGGAAAAAGTTCAGCATGAATGATATTCAAAATTATAATAACGTTGGTATCACTGCTTCATAAAAAATGGCAAGCTGTTCATTAGTGGTGACGTCAAAGGGACAATGGGTAGATGTGTGGGTGTGGGTGAGGATGTGGATGTGGATATGGACAATGGTGAAAAGTGTGAGTCTCTTCTTCACATTCACCCACGCCCACACCCTCTTTTTTTCACCAATTCTAACATTTTTAGCAGCTAGTGGTAGTTTCCAGTAGTTTAATCCAATTGCCATACCGGCAACATGTTTACACATAAATTTTTTGAAAAATGCTGGACAATCGCGGACCTCATCTAAATATTTTAATTTATCTATTGGTAATATAATAGACCAAATATTAAATGCATTTATTTTATACTGATCAAAAGAATACCATTTCATTTTCTTCATTAAATCAATTTCGACATCTATAATATTTGTTTCGTCTCCAGCAGGTATATAATATTGAATTAAATTATCAAATTTGGTCTGCACAATTAATTTATTTGATTTAACCCATTGATACATATTTGTCCATAAATCTTGTGATTTATTGTTTGCTTGCCATTGTATTTGTTTACACCTCGCGGGTACAATTTTGACCATTTTTCAACAGTTTCAAATGCTAACACTTTAAATCGTGATAATGGTAGACGTTCTCGAAATGTATTTTCGTTCTATATAACTTTGTTTGTTGCTTCCAAAGCATTAGTTGTGCTTCGTGTGAAATGTTGAACACATTCATATTATTCATTAGGTAATGTTAGCCACTCGCTTCGAAAATATTCTATAAAATTTGGTTTCCTGTTCGCCCATTTTTTTTACAAAGAGATTGGAAGCTTTTTTAAATATTCGTTCACTTTGTGGTAATTGTAATGTTTCGGTATCATTTACCAAATCTTCTCGTTCTGACTTGTCTATCTTTGATTCTATCTTTTTCACTACTTTTTGTTGCATATGAGCCCAACACATGACCATTTTTTCCTCCAAAAACATTTTGAAATGTATTACGTATTGAATCAGTGCCATCAGCAATTAAACATATGGATTCATTTCTTCTAGACTGAGTTTCTGTATACCTTCGTGAAGAGCACAAAACACAACTATGAAGTCTGATGTTTTCTCGTTTGAACAAACAACCATACCAAATGAATGAAAGTGGCGATCAAGAATAGTTGTACCAAGAACATGAACCGAAAATCCTTGCCATACCAATTTATACGTTGCATCTGCATGAAGTTTTTGAATCTTCAAACAATTTGTGAGTCTTTTGGCTGTAACAAAAAAACGAAACTTGCTTCCCTTGACATCATCATCATCATCATCATCATAAATAATTTCGTACGATGCAATGAAAAGTGTATCATCTAATTCTGGAATTGACTAGCTCGATTCTATACGTCACTATTCAATTTCGCCGAGACTTATTGTAGTTAGACCAAATTTTTTTAGTCTTTATGCTTCTTATAAAATTGTTTAATTGGTCAATGGTTGGTACTACCATTCCATGTTTATGTAGTGCTTCGATTATGGCTTTCGGTTTTAATCTCAATTCTAATAATTCATTTATTATTGGTTTTACTTCATTTGATATTCTTGAAATTTTCCATGCATATAATCATGAGTATGGTCTGATTTATTACAATATAAAACAACTTTATCATTTGTAGAGTTAAATAACAAATAAATGCAAGCATCATATTGTTTTCCACGAAGTTTAATCTTCTTACATCTAAAAAACTTCTTTTTTTCGCTCAACTGTTGTATTTGTATAATGATAACTCCATTGATTTTCTCTAACTTTTGGTTCTTCAGCTTCTTTAGCATTGTTAAACACCATTTCTTTCATCTAATTTCTTTGCCTCGTTTTTGCTCTGTTCTTGTTTCTATTATCTATAGTTTCATTTGGATTTATCTTCTCGTCAGAAATATAAGTTGATACTTCAACAATTTCCATGGTCGTTGCCATTTTTAAACAAAATTAGATATAATATTGTTAAGGAGTCATTGATTTAATAGATCAATATTAAACTCTGTTTTATTTTTTAAATGGCATCTATATATATCTAAACCAACTAGGGGAAAAACCAATGACACCTGGAAGAAAACATGAAGACAAAGAAAATACCTGAACTATATCAAAAGAAGAGACCGTTTTGAAAATATCTTAAAGCTAAGAAAAGAAAAAAGAAACAAAATATATTTTGACTTACGATGTCATCATTAGTCCACGTGGACAGTCATCCTTTTATTTCCACCAAAATATGTTCATCGAAAAAATTAAAATAATTATTGATTAAATGCTAGTCATTTAATGAGTAAATGAATTATTAATTGAGCAAACTGAATTAGTTACTGATACTTTAATTTTAATATTGAACGAATTATTGATTTACTGATTAAATAATTAGTTAACTGAGTAAACATAATAGTTACCGAGCATCAAATTTTATACTGATAGTTTGATTTCCTTACTGATAATTTGCATATAATACTGAGAAAATTTGAGTGATCGTCTACAAAAAAAATACTGATCATTTCATTAATACTCTATGTAAATGTATACAATCCTTATGATTATACGCATACTACCTATGAACATCCTTCTGAGTCGAGTTACATATGTACTATTTCAAGTCAACTCGTTCCCGCTCGTTATGCCATCCAATTATTCGCAGTCATCATTATCTCAACATTCTATTATTAACATTCTTGAACTTCAAGAAATTCCAGGGACAGTCTTCAATGTCATTGATAAATTACTTGACCATATTAACAATCTGAGAGACAACCATCAACTCTGTCAATCTTACAACAGCACAGTAAAGTATTTGATATTTCAATAGTTACTCAAGTCAACACTCCTACTCAACATTCTATTAACACAAGTGACAATCTTCCAATTAGTTCTTGACTGTATCCAAGAACGATCCAACAGCGACGTGAGTTTCAAGATGAAATTCAGATGATGCTACAAACTAATAAAATCCGTTCTTCAAGTTCACCATGGCCTTTTCCCGTTATTATTCATAAAAAAAGACGGTAATATTCGATTGTCAGTGGATTATAGAAAATTAAACTCTGTCACTAAAAAGGATTCTTTTCCACAACCAATAACTGAAGAATTATTAAATCGATTAGCTCGTCATCGATATTATACAAAACTCGAACTCAAGTCACGATATTTTCAGATTCCTATGCATGAGCATGATAAAGAAAATCTGCTTTCATTGCACAAGATGGACTATGGAAATTTAATGTTCTTCTACAAGAAATTATGAATGAACCATTAATTTTCTAGAGCATCATGTATGCTCTCCTTGATTATGGACGTTGGGATTATGGCATGACTTATTTAGATGATATCCTAATATTTTCAAGCACTTTCGATGATTATAAAAAACATTTACATGGATTTCATCAATATCAGTTGATGCGAATTTTTAAGTTGATCCCCATAAATGTTCTTTTGCTGTTCAAAAACTAGATTTTGTTAAGTCATATTATCAACGAACAATTGATCAAACCAAATAGTGAAAAAATTAAAGCAATCACTGAACGACCAGCTCCGCGAAAATTAAAAGAAGCATATTAATTCTAAGGCAAAATCCACTGGTATCGAAAATTCATTTCAAACTTTGCTATCACAGCTGCACCATTACACAAAATTAGTAATAAAAACAAACAATATAAACTTGAATTTATGTAGGACCCGAATCAACAGCATTCATTTGATTAATTTAAACGTATTTTAACCACATACCCATTATTTTTAGAATATTCTGGTTTATCGGTTGCGTTTACTTTAACGACCGACGTATCCGATTTTGGCATTAGTGGCATCTTACACCAAGGTACTCCAAATGGTGCGAAAATTAATTATTTCAGGTTTCGTATTTTAGATCATATTGAACGAAAATATGATACATTGGAGGAAGAACCTTTGGCTATTTATTAATGTCTTACTGAACTTCGTTCATATATGGGTAATTTTGGTTTTATCGTTGAAACTGATCATAAATCACTTGAAAATTTTCACAAAGAACAAATCAGCAATAAACGCGTGACGAATTGACTTTTCAAATTACAATACATTTTACCACCAATCATTGCAAACAAATATCGTACAGATGCAAATACTGCAGCTACTAATTATATATCACGACATTTTCATTCGAACCTATCAATACTAGTTCAGCTGTCGTCAATGAGTTACATGATGACTGGCCAACAGGTTCTGAAAATTGATCAGAATTTATACTAAAACCACAACGTGAACTCTTTATCAACTTAACTTTTTCAGTACACCCTATGCTGAATACTGCTACTATCAATTCAGAACTTAATGTTGTTACCATCCGAGCACAAGGTAAACTTATGAATCGTCTCCTTACACTTCTAACAACTACTACACAAACATCCACAACAGTTCAATTTTCACCATCATCATCTCCTTCATTATATGCTTTTAGTCTGTTGCGTATTCGCTCTGAAGAAGAACAAGACCTAGTGATTAGAACAACAATTTAACAAATTCGCAATAAACAAGGTCATCGTTCATTTATGATCCAGAATAATATTATTTATAAATCAGTTCGTCGTGGTCACATTAACATTCGAACCATTTCCTTATTTGCGATTTATTTAACCCTCCGTCCATGATAGGACCTAAATGTGCACAATGCTGATTACAAGTAACTTATGAAGAACGAAAAGCCATTAAATCAAATGCACAAACATGCAGCATATAAAACTGTGAGCAAAGATAATATGAGTCATGAGCGATGGCTTGCCGAGTCGAACCACTTTGGTATGCGAACAGAATGCCTAGACTATCGACGAACAAGTAGCTTGTGGAGTACAGATCAGAACAGTTATATAAACATGGTGCTGAGGGAGAAAAGGCTCGAACACGATGCCAATTCTCAAGAGACGAGTAGTTTGCCTTTGCACCAATCCCTCCCGTCTCCCCTCATTTGAACAATTTTTGTGCCATCGCAATTAATTCTCGAAGTACTCAAGGCTCATCATGATCACTATTTAAGTGGTCATTTTAGTGTTCAGCGTACCTCGGATATGTTTCGAAGCAAATATTATTGGCCACATATGTACGCAACAATTATTTCTTATACTCAATTATGCGATAAATGCTCCACATTTAATATTAATCGTCATAAACCTTCTTGATTTTTACAATCTATTCAACCACCTAAACAAGTCTTTCAAGTATTATGTAAGGATTGGTGGGACCTACAACAACATCACTTGCTGGTAAAAGATACATTTTGGTACTGACGGATCGATTATCGGGATATGTTTTCACGAAAGCATCACCTACAAATACTGCACCAGATACGACTCGCATATGAATGGAAGACATCGCTCTAGCTCATGGCCCTCCAGATATGCTTATTACTGATCAAGGAACACATTTTAACAATGAGATATTACACACTATTTCTAATAATTGGGACACATTTACCATCTATTGTTTATGCATACAATCATAGTGTACACAACTCTAGTGGATTTATGCCGTATCAACTTGTATTTGGCCGCCGACCACGAAATCCATTCAATCCTACGAAATCTACTTTTATATCCAG